AAGCCCTCAGTCCCCCAACCACTCCCATCTGCCTTCTACCCACACTACAGTGCTACCACAAATGGGACCCTGCAGTGCATTTTTGGGTCTGGCTTTTTTGACTTAGCATGTTTTGGAGGTCCACCCTGCCATAGTCACTGGAAGCTCTTCCTCTCCTGCTGAGTGGTGTTATTCCATATATGGATACACCATGACTTATTACCCATAAACCCGAGGGTATTTGGTTTGTCTCCTGTGGACAGGAAGCTGTTGAGAGTAACACCACCAGTGACCATCGGTGCCTAAGTGTTTGTGTGGCCTCTGGAAAGAAGGGGGATGATTGCTCTGCTACCCAAGGGGAGCAAGGCATGGCGGAGCTTAGAGGAGACTGGGGAAGACATGCAAGCAGCTGCCTCTGTCCACAGCCTCCTTCTAGCGGCACCCAGCCTGCAGCTCTGAACAAAAGGTCAGGGGCTGGGAGAGAGAGGAAGATGTGTTTATTTCCTCATCTCCATGGTGCTGGGAAAACTCCTTTGTCTACATTGTAGACTCAACTGGGATGAGGTTGCTGCTCCCATCGCCCTGCTGTTCCTAGTGAGTCTCATCAGAATGGCTGGTTTCCAGCGTGTTCCTTCCCACATCTTCCATGGCACACACCCAAACTGCATGAGCCCTGGCCCCAGTGGGTCACATGATTCTGTGCTGCCATCTTCCAAGTTCCCCAAGCCACAGTAAGGGAGGGGAAGCATGTCACTACCTAACCCTGCAGACCAATAGTTAGGCTCAGGGAAGCTGAGTGATAGGCATAAAATGACACTTCTAATGAGATGAGACTCTCCTCTTACTCACACCTGTGCTCTACAGTGTCACTACAGCTTCTGTTTCCACCCAATACCTGCAGCTCCTTCCTAGGGATTTCACAGTTCAGAAGGCCTGGGTTTGAATCCCAGGGCCACTCAGACAACCATAAAGAAGTTCACTAGGGTCTTATACTAGGCAGGGGCAGGAAGCGAGGTTACTGTATGGTGGCTGCCTAGTTTCTCTGAAGCTTTGGATGCCAGGGAAACAGGTGGCCAAGGAATGCTATCCTACTTTCTAATCTAAAGACATAGCCCTCTGGGACCTGGAGCACTTGTCAGAGGAAGTCAGCAAAGTGGCCATTAAACCAAAAATGAAAAGAGAAGCAAACATGGGCAGATGCCAAGAGCCTGTGCCCCAGAGGCAGGAAAGCAGTGTGGGCCAGCCAGTTCTGAGAGAGTAGCACATGGCCTTCATGCTTTGCTAGGCGCTAGCCTCCATGGCTGCCTTAGAGCCTCTGCTGACCTTCTCTGAGGCTGAGTGACAGGATCATGGAAAGACGTCAGGACGGATGCCCAGGAGCCAGCTGCCTGGGAAAGGCTGGGTGATGCAGAGCCACACAAAGATAATGTTGGGGATGGCAAGTAAGGCTCCAGAGGAGGCTTCCTCTGGCCTGCCCAACCCTGTGGGAAGGAAGGCAGGCATATTACTGTCTCCACCATCAGCAAAGACATCCTTGGGGGTCACCGAAGCTTAGTTGGAAGGACACACAAAGAATAGATGCCAAACTACTGGTTCAGCATAGAACCCAATTCAGTACCAGGACCCAGTGTGACAGGACAAGGAAGAGGGGATACAGTTGGCCTGGCAACACCTGTGAATGCCAAATGTTCAAGGCAGGAGGTGGATATGATGGGTTGAAGAAAGTCTCCACAAATTTCAAGTCTACCTAGAGTGGTGGTTCTCAAGCTGTGAACTGCAACCCTTTGGGTTGAATGACCCTTTCACATATAGGATATCCTGCATATTAGATATTTACATTATGATTCCTGGGCTGGGATTTTTAATCCCAGCATTTGGGAGGCAGAAGCAGGCGGATCTCTGTGAGTTCAAGACCAGCCTGGTCTATAAGAGCTAGTTCCCGGACAGCCCCCAAAGCCGCAGAGAAACCCTGTCTTGAAAAACCAAAAAAAAAAAAAAAAAAAAATTATGATTCCTAACAGTAGCAAAATTACACTTAAGAAGTTGCAACGAAAATAATTTTATGGTTGAGGGTCACCATGGCACGAGGAACTGTACTAAAGGGATACAGCATAAGGAAGGTTGAGAACCAATGATTTAGAAGCCGTGAGGATGGTTTTTGAGGGAGAGAGGTTATAAATATGATTAAGAGAGAATGATGAGTATCATATACATATTATGCAACATAGTCTTATGGCTCTCATGGCTAGAATTCTTATAAAGGGCAATTGGGGCACAGGGATGTGAGAGAGACCACTGTATGATGACAAGAGACACATGGGGCACTTGTCACATGAAGCTGAAGGTAGAGAGTGATGAAGCTATACGATGAGGAATGTCCAGGGTTGCTCAGCAGTCCCCAGGAGCCAGGCAGAGGTAGGAGGTAGTCCTTGGAGACTATAAATGCTCAAGCATTATGTTCCAGAATTGTTAAGGAAGTGTTTTTGTTTAGATACAGTTTGTTGGGGATGATCTCAGACACTCAAAGAGGGATCAAAAGCCAGGGCCTGGCTGCACACAACCAACTGTATGTGCTGGCAGGTGGAAGAGGGAAGGGGACAGGTTAGTGGTGTTGGATGTTGGGGCACGAGCCTAAAGAACGGAATTGAAGCTAGATGGCTTCTGGGAGGGCCATCTTGAATGACTCATTTTCCATCTTCAGGTCCATTTCCGTGCCTGGAGCAGGCCCTGCAGATAGTAGGTCAACAGGAATGTTCACTATCTACACCGCCTGTTCTTTCTTGTGTCCTCTGAGCCCCAGAGCTGTGCACGCCAAACTTCTGCCTCCATCTCCTCTGCTCACACTGTATGCTCTGTGCCCTTGTCTTGCTCGGATGGCATGTGTTCACTTTCCCAGCTCTCCTGCTACATGTGGCCCTACCATAACAGGACTGACCTGCTTCCATCCTGTTTCCCTAGGACACCTGATGCTCTGTGTTTGATAGGACACAGTTCCGCACACAGTAGGCACCCATTGAATACTGTCTGGAGATGGGGAATTGGACATGATGGGCTGGCTTGGCTGGAGGAATCTAGCTAATCCAGACTTACTGAAAACAGGAATCAGAGGCTGTGCTATTTGCTCAGTTGGAAGAGAAGCATGAGGATTTTCAGAGGAAAGTTATCAACAAAGGGAAAGCCCTTTGCTAAGCTCATGATCTCTGTGCTAGAGACTGCATCTTTATCCCAAGTATGATGTGAGAGGAGTATTCTTTAGCCCCTCACCAGTAGCCAGAGTCAGGGAACTAAGACCCAGGGTCAACAGATGGGGCAGGGACTGATGTTTGCATGTCATGTTTACATACTGCACAATGCCCAGCATATATCTACAGGCCTCTGACCACCCTGCCTGGCCACTGCCCCTTAGTAGGCAGCTTGCCGAGAGCACCAGCTCCTGAAGCTTTAAGCACAGAGATAAGACTTTTTGGTCACAGTAGTCCAGCACTGTGGAGTTAGGGTCACTTCTAGAGCATGGGTGGATGAACATGCAGAAGCTTCTATGGCCCTAAGATGACAACCTCCTCACCAAGGTGCTGTGAGTCACACGAGAACTACTAGCTGTCCATGCCAATGCTCTACCAGTCCCAGGCCACCTTTCCCTAGCCAGAGCTCTGTAGGGTACAGAGTGGGGTGGTGGTGGCTGCAGACAGCAGTCTACAGTCCTCGGGGCATCTAAGGCTGGAACTGAGAGCTCAGCCACTCCCAGGGGCTTGGTGCATCAGGTCTGTTCTGAGGAGCCATCCGCCTGTGTAGAGATACAGCTGCACTGGGAGGTGCCTGCCATCCAGGCAGGAGACATACTGGTGGCTTCGTGGTCCTCTGTCTTGGGATGTGTACAGCTGGGTGGTGAATGATCCAGGAAACTAAGTGCAACCTTCCACTTTGGCCTGACACCAGGCTTTAAATGCACGGCAGTTTGTGGTGACAGAGCCCAGGTGACAGCCGGGAACAGAAACCACAGGTCCTGAAGAGCAGCGAGACTTGGCTGTGGTTAGTCTCTGATGCAAGGGTTCTGGCCTCAGAACAGATCCTTGAGCACATGGACATGTGCAGAGCTGGAGAAGCAGTCCATTTACTCTGCAGGTGGGCACTTGCCCGCAGAGCCCAAGATGCAAGCCTGGCCAGGATTAGTCCTAGAACTGGGACTTTCCAGAACTGTCCTAAGTTCATGATGTTCTAAGAAGAACAATGATGGGAGGAAGGGAGTAGCAGATGCAGCCCCTGGCAACACATCCTGCCCACGGGGCCTATAATAGCCTTCAAAACAAACACACACTGCTGTTCAACCCTCAGTTTCTCTTGCATGGAGATATTTGAACGGAAGTTTCCCGAGTCTGAGTCCTCAGAACATCCAGATAGTTCCTCCTCAGGAACCTAGGTTTCAATTCAATCCTGACTGAGAATTCATATCAAAGTCGTGGGGGAGGAGAGGCTATGGACAGCTCAGGCTGCTCTCGGCACATGCCAGAGAAGCTCTGGGAAGCTGTTTGCTCTGCAGTGGATGGCAGCCTGCAGAGCTGTTGCTGCAGAACCCAAGGCCAAGTAGTACCTTAGGGTGCTGGGCTGCAAGGCCAGGCCTATGAACATCCACCAGGCAGGGCATGCTGAAATCATGACAATTCCCCATGACAAAGCCCCATGTGGTACCCAAGATGAGGATCTGGAGAGAAGGGGTTCTTCTACACAGGGCTTGGCTGAGTGATTACTGGCCAGAGGCTCCACTGGGTCTGGACCGCTGGACCCCCAGTTTACACAGTGGGAAAGACTAGAACCCTTTCTTCCTCCTGGTTCCAGCTAAGAGTGGGGTGGGCTGGAGCAGAGTCAGCGGACATAGGGGATATAGGGGAGAAGGGAGAGAGAGAGAGAGAGAGAGAGAGAGAGAGAGAGAGAGAGAGAGCACAACGACCACTACCACCGCCATCGCCGCCGCTGCCGCCAATTCTGTCCCATCAGTCTAGGCATGGAAAAGAACAACACTAAAATTCTGGCTTTGTCAAACACAGACTTTACTGGATAACTGGGAGACACAGACTAGCTATGTAGGTCACAGACCTGTGATCAAAACAAGTCATGATTGGAAAACTGCTCTCTGTGGAGCATAACACCCGTGCCAGGGTGTCCCAAAAGCTCCACAGAAGACAAAGTCCCACTAGTGGGCAAAACCACACTAGAGAATGGTAGATCAGGTCCTGTTAGGGATCCCAGCTGGGAATTGGCCCATGGTCATCCAATCCCTACACACCACTGCTCCTATGTCATCTATCACCCAAAGTGGGTGCAAGGTGTGTGTGTGTGTGTGTGTGTGTGTGTGTGTGTGTGTGTAAGAGAGGTAGAGAGCTGGCAGCCAAGGCACAGAGGAATGAATATAGAGGGAGAAGGGTCCAATGAGACCTGGGGACAGTTGGGTGACTCTATAGAAGACTGGGCCATGTGGCCTCTCCCCACCTACTGAGCCTTCCTTTGTAGTTAGTGAGGAGAGGGCTTTGGGGCGGGGCTTCTGGACATTCTGCCCAGAAGTTCTGGGCACTAAGAGAAAGGAGGGCATGAAGGCCTGCTGGTGAAAGGGAAGGAGAATTGGGGTGGGGGCTTTCTAGAGTCAGCTCTAGTCTCTGGGGAGACCCTCAACCTGGCAAGGCAGAGGAGTACTCTGGTCCTCCACCTAGAACCATTTATGCCCTCTCATCCAGCCTTCTCAGAACTAGGCAGCTGACAAGGGACATGTAAGATGCAAGACAGGCCAGATCCTCCCAGCCTGGTCTTGTAGGTCGGAGCTGGGGACCCCAGACACTGACAGCAGCCAACAATTGGATGGTGCCACTTGTGGGCTCTAGACAGTGGGTCTTGGACCTGACTGGGTCCTTCTAATGCCTCTGTGAAGCACAACTGAGCCAAGGAACAAAATGGCTGCATTTCGTTTAAAAAAAAAAAAAACTATGTGTTTCATAAAAAACCAAACTAGTTCCTAATGCAAAGAATATACTCTAGCAGTCTTTGCTCCAGGAGACACCATCTACTGGGAGGCACAGGATCGCCCTGGTGCACAGCTCCCTCACCTTGGCTGGTGGCTTCACTGGAGAAAGGCTAATGAGTTCAGATCCTGAGGGCAGACAAGGCCTCATACCCCATGGGTTAAGCTCTGGGAGAGGCTAGGACCCACTTTATTGATAGCTGCATTAAAGGGGCCATGGGCTGGCCAGGCCCTTCCTGGGAAAGGATATGGAAGACCTGGGGTCATGGAAGCCCTCCATGCCCTAGAGAGGCAATGGTGGGCCCAAGTTTTCCTATTAGCATTGAAAGTCCAAGGAGACTCAGAAGGGACTTGGGTCAGGGCAGTCTGGATAGAAAGGCTTTCTGCTTAGAACATGCCTTGGCTGTGGGGCCTCAGCAGCCATGCTAAGTAGAGACTCCAGAACAGCCTGTCACAGGAACCCTGTTTAGTCCAACCTAGGCTCAGGTAATCCTTCCTTCCTGCACTGAGCTGGCAGAGGCAGTGGATGCAAGCATGTAGAAGTTGTCCCTTCCCTGGTAGACACTGTCCTCTGATCTCATTCCAACCTTGAGGTCAGGCTCTTGTTGAGTAAGGCAAGCCCACACCCACTCTCCTCTTTTCAGCCAGCTGGGCTGGGACGATGCACTTTGATTCCTATGATGCTCCCAACTCTTCGTTCTGCAAAAAGTCCTTGTGCATCCCACAGCCCAGGAGAAAAGAATACAGTATGGTACTGGGGCTGGGGATCCAGGCTTCCATTTCCATTGGTGCTCCTTGCCTGGCAGGTAGAACCCACACATTCTCATTCAGGTCTCTTCCCCAGGAGGGTATGCAACGGCAGGCAGAGTATCAGTGGGAGAGGGTAAGTCAGAAGAGGCTGGGGGATGCTTGGGCGAGTGTGTCCTGGTCTTGAATGTACTGCAAGATGTCCATTTCATCCATGGCTTGGATCTGCTGCTGCTTCTGTGGTCCAGCCCCAGTTTCTGATGGACCCACAGAGGGGGGCACAGTTGGTTTCCTGGGCAGTGCTGGCTTAGCTGAGACTAGAGGCTTGGGCTTAGGTTGGGGCTTGGGCTTAGGTTCAGATCCTAGGTTCAGGATGTGGTCCAGGTCCTCTTCAACTCTAGGGAACCAAAGAGAGGAATCCTGGAATATAACTATAGCCATAAAGGAACAAGATCCTGGAGCAACAACATTCCCCACAGGGGCATCGAGCAGATCCTAGCTTGCCTCATGTCAAGGCCTGGCTCACCGTACCATCCAACCAGTACAAAGGAGAAGCCCAAGGGCAGGTCCACCTCCACAGCAGCCAGGGTAGAGCAGTCCCTTAGTGGTGACTTCAAACCTGCTGGCATCTTCAGGGACTTCCCTCCCAGCCCTTTAGACATCACTACCTGCTGCCTGGTACCAGGCTCCTAACCACCACTGAGCAATTTAGAATCATTCTCTCTTTCTCAAATCCCTACTTCAGGGAGGGACATATATGTGTCTATTTTACAGACAGGAGCTACAGTCTGAGTGGCTGGGTAGCTCACTGAGAGGGCACTAGGTTGCAGTTGTGCCTGAGTCACACCAAGGATGTCTGACCTGGGAGGCACAACATGAAGCTAAATCAGCTCCACCCAGACCAGCAGTAGACACGGATGTTGAGCTGCTGTGTGAAGGGGTCTGCTGGCTGAGGTATATCTCTGTGAGTCACTGGGGTTCTAGAGAGAGCCCTGTAATGGCTGCAGTGGACTCAGCCAGCACTCATCAAGATTGGGTCATGGGATTCTGGAGCAACGACTCAGCAGTTAAGAGCAGTTGCTATTCTTCCAAAGGACCCAGGTTCAATCCTCAGCACACACTACATACATGGAGGTTCACAACTACATGTAACTCCATCCTAAGGGAATCTAACCCCTCTTCTAGCTTCTGAGAGCAATGTACATGTTGTGTACAGATACAAATGCAGGCAAAACAGACATACACGCAACATAATAAAATGAAAAAATAATTAAAAAAAGATTGGATATAGCCTTCGGATTGCCCACTGGCTGATGGGACTGAAGTTTCAGTAGTGACTGGCAAGGAGAGCATGCCTGGGTATGGAATAGCCAGACCAACGGCATTGTGATAAAGCACCAGGAACCTTGTGTGGGGGACCTTGGCAGATTCCATGGTGGGTGAAGTTGAACATTCTTAGCCTGGGGGAGCTTGTGTTGTGAGTTCCTGGTGGTTGCAACACAAACCTCCGTTAACCCATTCCACCCGGCAGCCTACTCAGTGCTGTGGCAAACACCACAGGCCAGGCACTTCTTCATTCTTCAGTTCATTTGATGTGCTCTTAAAACACTGGGAACAGAAACAAACCCATTTTACAGAGGCGAAAACTGAGCTATAGGGAAGTGAAGGGCCCTGTCTTGGGCTCCGGGGCTTGGGTGAGGATAAAAAGTACCTGACCCATAGGAAGCTGGCTCTCTAGAGGGGTACCTTCCTGGGTACCCCTGCATGGAGGTCCCTTTTCCAGCTTGTGCTGACAGTTATCTCCACAGGTGTCCTTCAACCATGCCAGGTTAGGTAAGCACAGCACAGCCGTGGGAAGCAGATGACCAGGATGTGTGTGTGGGGGGAGGGGCTTAGCTTCTCCATGCTCTGGTTCCTCATCTCCAGGAAGGGGAGAGGAGCATTAGTGCTATACAGCCTCTGTGAGCAGAACTGGCTTCTACTTCTTATCTTGCAGTTTCTCAGCAGGCCTTGGGTCACTCCACCTCTCTGGCTCTCTCAGTCTGCCCATCTGTAAAGGAGGGGTAGTTTGTGCTCCCCTAACCTCACAAGGACCAAATAAAACAACACATAGGAAGTGCTTCACAAATCTAAGGGAATACTGCACACACTGACTTTGACTGACAGCCATGGAATGTTAAACAGAGCAGGCATTAGCTATAATAGAGCCACTGCCTCGATCCTCCCAAAGGGCATTCCCAACTCAGCTGGCCCGAGAGGATCTCAATAATGACAGGGGCCAAGAAGTAGTCACTGATGGCTAGGGAAGGGTGTGGCCAGAAGTGATGGGGAAGGGTTCCGAAGGAAAGGGAGAAGAAAGATGGCCCTGACATGAATTGGCAGGATCCTGGAGAAGGGAATGACGGAGGGCAAAGGCTGGGAGTGGGAATGAAAAGGATTCAGGCCAGTGTGATGCAGGCTGTCTGCCCTGGGCAGTGTGTCCTTGCAGAGGAAGAAGAGTATCCAGAAGGACTGGGGTAGGGTAGGGGGACAGGAGTGGACAGAGGAGCATTTGGTCTGAACAGTGCCCTGGTTCTACAAGGCCTGGAAGAGGCCTGAGTGAGTTCTATAACTTCATAGCACAGGATTCCAGAGGACTGCCTGCCAGGAACCAGCTGCTTGGGAGCTCTGGGTTACCCTGCCTGCTTTTTGGAGAGTCCAGGGCTTCCAGAGCCTGCCTGAGTAGCAGAGAAGTGAGCAAAAAGTCTAGACCCAGAGGGAATGGATGAACCAGTTTCTAGAAAGACCAACTACTGTAAGGAGATGTTGGGAGGTGCCACCATCCATGGGAAGGCTGCTCCTGCCAATCTCAGCTTCGAAATGTATCACCTTTTTTCCAGACAGCCACTGTTTCTTGACTCACTCGGCCAAGGGCTGGCTTCCTTTACATCCTCTATAGGACATCAAGGATGCTCACAAAAAGTTCACAAGGACAGAGCTTGTTCAGAGTTCTTTAGGAAAGTCAAACAGCAGCTAAAGGCCTGAGACCGATTTCAAGCATAGCCAAGACTCCTTGGAACAAGTCACAGCCAGGTCTGCTAAGGTCGGGAGGGATGCCCTGGGTGGCTGGCATCACCACTCAGTGTATGGATGGTTGTATGGGCTCATCAGAACAGGTCTAACTAACATGACGCTCAGCTCCTCTCTCCTCTAGCCCCAGGCGGCATGATGTCCACCAGAGAGCGGCTGAAGTGGTTGTCCTGAAGTGTTCCGTGCCCTAAAGCCATAGCTTTCTCCTCCTTCCTAAGCTCCCACTGAGGGAGAAACCCAGCTACAGATTGACTTCTTGAACTCTTACTTGGTTCACTCAACAACTCCAACATTGCTGCCTCAGGAGAACTGATGCTGAGGTAAGTGGCTAGCAGAATGATGGAGGAGTGAAAGCCTGCTATCGAGAGGAAGTTCAATTACTGTACTGCCTAAACAGGAACAAGGTAGGCAAAAAAGAATAATAAACTCTGGCTCCTGCTCCTAAGAAGGCAATTCTTCACCACCAGATGTCTGTTTATGGAGGCTGAGATGCAAAGCCCACATTCTTTAAGCTGTGATTCCCAGGGGCTGTGCAAGACTGGGAGGCACAATGAAAAGGAAGGGTCCCAGGGACCAATGAGGCCATGAAATGCTGTGTGGCAGTGTTTGCTTGTGCATGACAAGCCTGCTTAAAGCTGATGTCAGCTGGCCATGGAATCCTGTGAAAATTGCCTTGACACACCCATGGAACAGTGATCCCTGGAACATGCAACAGAAAGGAAAGGGTTTATAATATGTGGCACTGGAAAGGCCCCATGACATCTGTCCCACCAGCATGTACCCTGCTGCCAGACTTCTCTGTGCCTCAGTTTCCTCCCTAATGGAATAACAATGATCCTGGCTCCTCCCAGCCATCAGGATGTCAGGAGTGAGCACACATGATGAGAAAATGAACAGATGCCAGGGGCCTCTGGGAGATGTAAATACAAGACGCCATCGAGGTGACTCAGGCTTGGCGGGCACTTAGAGGGCTATGTAATAGCCTGGGGCTGCTAACGAGGGGTGCGGATGACAGCCTTCAAGGACCACAGGCCTTGGTGCCATATAAACTATTCCTGGAAAGAGGCAGCTCGGCTCCATGCACATCACCCAGCATATGCTGCATCCTGGGGGCGTGGCTTGGGAGGTAGGGACACTACAATAGAAGCAACTGGAAAGCAGGTGGTTGCATATGAAGTCAGGGAGAACCCACTGCCTGAGGCAGGAAGGCAGATCTCCCAGCCTCTTCTCCAAGGGCTCAGGGCTTCCACTGGAGCACAGAGGTGGCGACAGAGGTTGACAGGGGTGGTGGCCTTGGGCAAGTGAACTTTCCTATACTATTTTCTGTGACTGCAGAGAACAGCATCCATCTTAGGGGCTGTGTGAAGGGAAAGGAAGATCATCTGTGGTGAGGCAAATCTCCCACAACGCCTGACACACAGCAAGCACTAAGGAAGTAACCTGGTATTCTTTTCACATCTGACTTCCACCTTCAGGTAATAGATTAACCTTGACTTTCCCTTCCCTCTGATAGGACCCTTCTGGAGGGCTGGCCATTGTTCCGTAGTACATTTGTGCTTTGTTCTCTCTGAGCACATAGTATATCAAGGGTCAGTTTTATTTGTTCCCAAACCCACTTATGCCAATTATACTTGCTCATGGGTTATACAATTTAGTTATTTTATTCCCTTAAAAAGCTATTAAAATAGAAGTGTGAAAAGAAAAGGAATGTAGTTCTCCGTGGAACCAGTGGGGTGCCCTGGTTGCTGATAGCCTTCCCCCAGCAAATCCTCACTCTCTTTCAGCCATGAGTGGACACTCATGGCTGCAGGACTTGGCCAGGCCTGGATCCCTCCCTTGTGGGCTGAAGCTTGTAAAATACTCTCATACTTGGGTAAGAGCTACTGAAGTCTTCCTGGGGACAACAGTACCTGAACAGCTCCTTGGAGGCTTCCCTGTATTCTGGGCTGGATGTGGGCCCTCCACTCTCACGGGCAGCTGGCAGCAGTAAAGGGTCACCCAGGGAGACAGCTCCACCAAGGTCAGGGTCATCAAACAGCTTCAGGGCTGTGGGAAGAAGGAGCAGATGGTAAAAAGAAGTGCTGGTCTATCCTCAGTTGCCAGCGGGCAGGCCTGCTAAGCCTCCTCTTGCCCCCAAGTGGGTGAGCAAGGAAAGCATAGTGGTGGGAGCCCACAGGGCAGGAAGGTAAGAGCCTATCAGTGCTATAGAGGTCTGCGCTGCCTGTCCACCTTGGTATGTGCTCTCTTCTAGTCCTTGAGGACTTTTCACTGCTAGGGTTAAGTGGCTTCTCAGTACATTGCACCAGACCCCCAAAGTTCTGGTAGGACTGGACTCCTGAGCTTGCCCACAGGTACAAACAAGCAGATAAAGATATGGAGGTACATTCACCAGTCACAGATCTTGCCAAGGTCGTGAATGAGGAGCAGAGGCAACAGACATGAACTGCCCATAGATCCACCCTCAGTCAGCCCAGGTCTTCTCAGTCCTCTCCCACCTGAGCCACCCACGGCTGTGCTTTGGGAGTGTCAATCATGTCTCTACTTGAAAGCATCTTTCCCCAGTGGAGCTAGCTAGGCCCCCTGGCCTTCTGGAGTCCACCATTGCACTCCCTCCCAGGATGTCTGCTGTCCTATGGGAACCGGTGTTTCTTCTCAGTCCTGAATGAGATTTGTGCTGTGCTAAATTTTCCGGTGATGCTATCTATGTATCGCTAGCTCCCTGTGGGCTCTAGATTTAAGGCTGGGGAATCTGAACTTCACCTTCCCCTGGTGGGTGCTCACCAAGCACGGGATGAATCAGTAAGTTACCTGGGCAGGCATGAGGAAAGGTCAGAGAGACACGTGGAGGAGTGCTAAAAAGTGAGCATTCCCTCTGAACCCTGCACCATGCCTTGCAGCAGCGTCTACATGGGTGGCATGCAATCATTCAAATTAAAAATTGTACAGAGTTGCAAATATATAAATACAGATAGACATCCCGTATCACATGCCCACCTTCCAGCATCCTTTCCATTAAACAGGTCCAGGGAGCTCCAGTGCCCATGGGGCTACAGATGTAAACAGGGAACTAGGTCTCTAAGCAACAAAAAAGGGTCATTCTCTTCCTGTATAGGACATTTAGAGTAAGTGTATAATGCCAAAAACATTTCAGCCTGTGGGGACATTGGTTGTGAGGCTCCAACTGCCCAGCAGAAAATCTCCACATACCTAGCCTGTATTCCATCTAAACAGGACAAGGATGAGACCCTCTTGCTCAGGGTCACAGGCAGCCACCAAACTCTAGGCCAACATCAACTGGTACTTACAGTCCTGTGTGGTCTCCAGAGGTCTCTGGGGGGATGCCTTCTTGCCTGGGCCAAAGAGCTCTGCATCAGGGTCCACCTCCTCATCAAAGATGGTGAGCCGAGGTGAAGGCTTGGGCCTTATGGCCACTTCTGGGCGTTTCTTGGGTTTCTTGGAGCTGGAGATAAACACAAGGTGAGGAGTCTCATGAGTGCACAGGTGGCCTGCTGGTTTTCCCCAGTTTCCAGCTCAGCTGGGGCTTCTGATGCCAATGGCTATGGAAGAGCAGGTCAGAAGAGGACCATAGGAAGGTCTGGGACAGCCCAACCAGAGTGGTCTTAGCAGGTACAGCAACCTCAGTGATCCTCAAATCTCCAACTCATAGGTTCTCCTGACCCAAGGGGGTCAGGCAGGCAAGAGAAGGGAGATGGAAGGCAGAGGGTGTGAGCATATGCTCCGAATGAGCTTTGTCATAACCTGACAATAGAGCGAAGAGATGCCTGCTGCTGAAGCAGTGTCACACTGCTCAGGTGTGATGGCCATTGGGAAGCATAGGGAGAAGCAAGGGACTATCTGGACTAGACACTGATGGCCAGGCAGATCCTAACCCAGACAGTCCACTCAAGTGTTGTGCCATCACATGACAATGGGCTTGATAAAATGCTTTTCTTTTCAAAGGGGGGTACTAGATACCCTCTGGAGCCTGAGCTCAGAAAGCCACACTTCATAGTCACTTGGCTCTGCTACAACTGTCCACTAACTGGTGAGCTCTTGTCCTGGGATGCTTGCAGCAGGAAGCTGGGGGGTCACTGGGAGGCTTCTGGGGTGTGCCACTGTTTTATTTCTTGATCCAGGTGGACAAGGCATCCTTCATGTAGCTAGATCACATGATCTGCCTTTGTGACACTACCTCCAGATCACAAACTTGGTTTTATTTTAACAAGTTGACCTCATGCCTGGGGGCTGCTGCCCACATTAGCCATTTTAAGATTCCTACAAACAGCAAGTTTTTTTTTCTTTTTTTTACTGGAAACTGGGATTGTTTTTGCTTGAATGCCTGGCAGCCAGTTCCACTGGACTGAGGTCATCTCTGAGCTCATGTTGGCAACACTGTGGCAAACTGCACAGAGGTTGACGATTGCCAAAAACTGTAGCAGGTCCTTGGGTGCTGCAAGGCCAGGGACTGTGCACTCACTATTCCCACAGTCTAGAGGTAGATACACATGCTGGTTAGTTTTTATGTCAACTGGACACAAGGCAGGGTCATCTGGAAAGAAGAAATTTTAGTGGAGAAAATGCCTCCATCTGGTTGACCAGGCAAGTTCACAGGGCATTTTCTTAATTGAGATTGAGAGGGCCCAGCTCACTGTGGGAGGTACCACCACCAGGTAGGTGGTCCTAGATTGTATAAGAAAGCAGGATGAGGCTGGGCAGTGGTGGCACTCACCTTTAATCCCAGCACTCAGGAGGCAGAGACAGAGGCAGGGGGGTCTCTGCGAGTTCGAGACCAGCCCGGTCTACAAGAGCTAGCTCCAGGACAGCCTCCAAAGTCACAGAGAAACCCTGTCTCAAAAAACCAAAACAAAACAAAACAAAAAATCAAGGAGAGTAAGTTCAACAGCATCCTCCATGGCCTCCTCATCAGTTCCTACCTTGAGTTTCTGCCCTGGTTTCTCCGGATGATGAATGGACCACATGTTGTAAGATGAAATAAACCATTTCCTCCCCAAGTTGATGTTGCTCAGGGTGTCTTATCACAGCAATAGAAATCCTAACTAAGTCATCAGCCTAGCCTACAGTCCCAGCTGAGAGCAGAGAAGCTGGGGAAGCCAGGAAGGAACTTATCTGGAAGGCTGCAGGCTAGACAGCTCCTGGTGCTCTGGGTTACAATCCTGTTGGGAGTCATCGGTGAGGGCAGCCTCACTGGCCAGATAGACAATGGTGGAGGCCACACAGCAGACTGGGGCTCACAGCAAGGTGGTTACTACTTATGGTCCTATGCTCTTGCTCCTTTCTTCAAATGTCCCATGAATAAGATTGACCTTACTTTCCTTGGGAGAGGAAGGGACACATGCCAAAGGCAATGACAACATCTGTGTCTCTGTTCTAGTATCTGCACTTTTCCCATCAACATGGGCCACCGGGGTGAAGTGCTCTACTCTGCCTGTGGTGCTGGGGTGAGTGAAGGGAACCAGGATCTCTAGGCTAATAGTGAGCATCCCCTGGAAGTCTCAGCTCTAGGTCCACTCTGATCCTGCAGTGTGGAGGACTCAGGTGCTTCTCATGGGCAGGCTCCCTTCATCTTATCTACCAGGCAGAATCAACACAGTCCTGGTGAGCCCTGATAGAAAGTGCTAACAGAGGCCATGGTCCTAGAAAGGATGACCATAGTCCAGACTCCCTGTGCCCATATGTCTGGAGTGGAACTGTGTGCCTATCTCTGTGGAATGCAACTATCAGTTGGGGTTGGGATTCCCTGGACCAGCCCTGGGGGACAGGAAAAGAACTGTGGGCACCACCAATATATCCCTTGATTACCTATCCTAGCATCCTCTGCTTGGTCCCTGATCCTGACCCAGCAGGCGCTGCAGCAGTGATGGGCAGAGATCTCCATTTATACCCATGCCAGCACCTGGCCCAGCAGCTCCAGAAAGCCGGGTCTCAGGCTACTCCTCAGCCACTCTGGTAGCTTTGCCTTCCACATCCTATACTTCTCTATCAGACTTCAGGCTTCTCCTCAGCCACCCTGGTAGCTTTGCCTTTCATGTCCTGTACTTCCCTACCCAGAAACCACCTTCTCTGGGGATCAAACACACATGCTACCCAGTCAAAAGGCCCAGAGGGCAGGGAAGCCAAGTTCCCTACGGATCAAGAACAGAAGAACAGCAGGAAGCATAGAGCAAGGGACCCCAAATAACAAGGGAAGCATGAGAGAATATTCAAGAAGCCAGGCGAGGTTTCAACTGTTTCCCTATTTCTACCCAGTTTGGCCTTGACAGCACAAATGATGCTAGACTATCCTGGGCAAGCTTTCCTCTCAAACTAGACTCATATCTTTGTTCTCCTTGGTGATACCTGTGATTTTTGTTGAACCAAAGAAAAGCAGGAGTGCTCAGTCAGGCACTGTCTGCACTCTGCCCCATCCCATCGAGCTGTCCTGTCTGTCACCAGTTCTTCAGACCTCTCAAGGGAAGACAAGGGACATCAGGGGACACGGAGCTTTGGGACTGGGAAATCCCTGGATCTTGACTGATTGGTCCTAAAACTGCAGAAAGGTGTTCAGCAAATACTAGAAGGAAGAAGGCAGGCAGACAGGCATTTGTTCTCTGTGTAGCTGGATAGTTATCAGATAGAGGGGGGCAGATTAGCTGACTGGATAGGAAGGAAGGAAGAAACAGCAGGCAGACAGACAGATGGACAGAGTTATAACACATTCAGACTGTTTCTACTTGTCCCGGGAGGAGACTGGGTGTGTGTGTGTGTGTGTGTGTGTGTGTGTGTGTGTGTGTGTGATAGCATCAGTCTCAGTGCTCATCTTTACAAAGCCCTTCCTCTATCCCATCACTGCTATCCCAACAACGTCCCTGCCAGCCTTTCAGCTGTGAGCTCCATTCCCTCAGAAGGCCCTCGCCAAGGGCCCTCATCAAGCACCTCCCATACAAAGGTGCTTGTGCTAAGTGATGTAGACAGATGTGCTTGAGATATGCACCTGTTCCCAGAGGCTGTGAGCCAAGCAGTCAGTCACAGACACCAGTCATTCCATATAGGAAACTCCAGTCTGTCACAGCTGGAGCACACAGGGTGGAGTTAATGAGGGCTCAGGAGGAATTCCTAGAGGAGGTAGTGGAAAAGGGTGGTGGCTGGCCTAGTGGGTTGAGACCAAAGGAGTGTCTCTGGCAGACCAACACCAGTCACTCTGCATAACCAGGAACATATACCTTCTAGATGATGGTAAAGAGAAGGAGGAGGAAGCTGTCCCTCATGGAACTTTGCTCATAGACCATGGTCTGGCTTGAGGAACAAAGCAACATAAGTGGCAGGCAAAGCCAGCATAAGGGCCAGAAGGAACTAGCTACAAGATCGGTAACCTAAGTGATAGATAGATAGATGGGGTCAATCATTTCATCTGGGATTTGAGTCACTGGAGCTCTGAGTGTCCCTCCTCTCGTGCTTCCCTAGGCCAACACCTCCACCCAGCTGTCCACACACAGACACACACACACACACAGAGCTCATCCTAAGCACTGACAGCAGGAGACAAAACTTCTAACCAATAGGAGGTTCATTCTCTTCTCATCACCAGGGACTGGGCAGGGTCAGCAGCCCCTGACTTCCTGGTGAACCTATGCAGAACCCGAAGGGTGCCTAAAGAGACCTCTTGCCCAGCATAGGCCGTATGAGGTAGGCAGGAGCCCCTGGGTGGCTGTAGCCATGTGTAAGCATGTTCATGCCGGTGTACAGACTCCAGTTCTTCTGCTGTGTGCCTGACAGGAGACAGATGCACAGCCGGGCCCTGTTCTGAGGCAGGCATGTAGCACACTCAGGGAGATGCAGCAGCTGCTGCTGACAGCTCCTAAGCTCTGCCTGGCCAAGAAGTGTCTCACTCCCTGTGGCTCAGGCACTTCTGGTGACAGTGATTGACACATGAGAGCAGTCTCCCCTCTGGCCACCCAGGGGCCTCGTGGAGTCATTCCAGATTCATCCACCTCCCACAGCAACCAGTGATAGGTACCAGCTGCCCTGGACTGGAGAGCAAGGGAGAAATGGAGAGGGTCTCCAGACACAGCCAGCCAGCCTGGGTCTGGACAGAAGGCTGAGAGTCCACAGCCAAGACATAGACCACCTTCAAAGCCGGTGCAATGCTTCACCAAATATGGCAACAAACTTCTTTTCCAATGATGCAACTTTGCTGCTTTAAAACGAGGCATTTTTCCTATCTTCACCTGAAATTTGGCTGTTTATCCCAGTTGTAGAAAATGCTCAGGGTGCCACTAAATGATCTTTTTCCGTGTGTGCAGTGTGCATACCTGTGCAGGTGTGTGAAAGAGAACTTCGGCTGTCATTTCCCTGGCACTGGCCACCTTGGTTTTTTGAATCGGGATTTCTAGCTGACCTGGAGCTCAGCAAACAGGATGGAATGGCTGGCCAGTGAACCCCAGGAATCCACTCATCTCCACC